AGGCCAGCAGCAGGAAGCACTGTACACAAACTGCTCCCCATGGGTTGTGGAATCACAGCCTTGGTGTAATGGCCCATCTCACTGTCATGAACAGCTTCAGCTGACTCACACAATATTTCTGTCCACAGCTGGATACTAAACCAACCCAAAGTTCATGATCTACTGAGCTGTTTCCTGGGCAGGTATCTGCACAGATCAAAGCCAATTGCAGCCTAATCCTGGAAACCATGCAGAGCAAACATATTCCTTAGAACCCAGCAGGATCTGAACTGCATCATTAATCCTCTACATAGCCCCTAATGGCATTTGGTTCGAGGATTCATCCTCTTAAGAAAAAAGAAGAAAAAAACAAGAAAAAAACTAAAAATTAAAAAAAAAGAAAATAAAAAAATCCAACAAAAAGCTTCCCAAACAGAAGTTTGATACAATACAGGTGGCTATAATTTATTCTTGCCAATGCTCTATGTCCTTCAACTGTGGTTCTTTATCCAGGCTGACTGACAGTTGTATCAAACACACCATTACACAAGGCTATCCCTTCCCCTACTGCCAGTCTCTCTGGCAGCTGTGGCCCATTCCAGAGCAGCATGCTGAGAGCTTTGGCTGGTGTGCATGAAAACAGGCAAAGAAAAGGGAGCATCAGAACACTGCACATGCTGCCACACTCTCTGATAATGAATTTGATGGTGGTGTTTGCTAGTGGAGACAATTTTTTGGTTCAGTCCTTAAGTATGTGTTGTAGCAGTTCATCAGGAAATATAGCACACTTGCTCTGAACTTTTCTCTGAACTCCCAAGAGCAGCCCCATGGGAAGGGACCAGGGGGTCCTGGTTGATGGCAAGCTGAATCTGAGCCAGCAGTGCCCTGGCAGCCAGGAGGGCCAACCTGTCCTGGGGGGCATCAGGCACAGCATGGCCAGCCAGGCAAGGGAGGGGATTGTCCTGTGCTCTCTGCACTGGGGCAGCCTCAGCTCGAGTGCTGGGGGAGTTTTGGGTGCTATGATATAAGGATATAAAGCTATTGGAGAATGTCCAGAGGAGAGCAATGAAGATGGTGAAAGAGCTGGAGGGGCCGTATGAGGAGTGGCTGAGGTCACTCAGTTATGTTCAGCCTGGAGGAGACTGAGGGGAGACCTCACTGCAGTCACAACTTCCTTGTGAGGAGGAGTGGTGGACACTGATCTCTGTGGTGGTCAGTGACAGCACCCAAGGAAATGGCATGAAGCTGTGTCAGGGGAGGTTTAGGTTAGATATTAGGAAGAGATTCTTCACCTAGAGGGTGACTGGGACTGGATTAGGCTCCATGGGGAAATGATTACAGGACCAAGCCTGCCAGAGTTTGAGAAGCATTTGGACAATGCTCTCAGGTACATGCGACTCTTGGGGGCTATCCTGTGTGGGCCAGAAGTAGGACTCAATGATCCTTGTGGGTCCCTTCCAACTCAGGGAATTATCATTCCTTAATACAATAAACTCCACTAACCAGTCCTGGCTTACAGTGTAAACTGTTCACAGTGTAAAAACTCAATTTTAAAAACTTTGGTTTTTTACTTGCAGCTGCCACCAGATGTTTGAAATGTTTGTAAGATTGAAAACAGTCTTGGTACAAGGCATGTGCCTTCACAGCGTGGGACACAGACAAGAGAAGCCTTCTTTCATGCACTTCTGCCTTCCCATTATTGCCTCCTCCACTGTTCAGTGATTCCTCCCCCAGGTGCTGGATTCAGACAAGCCCTTAAAGTGGCAAGAAATTACACTATTGTGTGGGAAAAGCAGAAGTCCCAGTGGGTGTCATCCAGAGGCTATTGGTTCCTCAACCTTAGCTATCTTCCTGACTCACCCAACAGCTCTGTACAGATGTATAATGACACAAGAGAAAGGTCTGAGATTAGTGAAATTTTGCAGATGAAAATTTGTGGGTGAGATGGACAGCTATTCCCCTAACATTTACCTTAGGTTGGCCACTGGTCCTATTGTAGCCACTCACCTCAAAATGCTCTTTGTAGTAAATGATACTACACAGGGGCCCACCAACACAAGCATAGCACTCATGCATATCTCTAAACCATGAAAAAGGGGGGATAAAAAAGATCTCCTATTTCCCTACCACTGCCTGGCTTGAGGCCTTGAAGTGGGGACTCCCAGTTCAATTCAGACTCTGAATCTAAAGAACAGAGCCAGTCACAGGCTGAGGATATGCTGGTCATCTACCAACAAGTCTCTACAGAGCTCCCAGAAACTGTCACCAAAGGGAGAATTTCTATTCCATCTTCTTCTACCTTCTTGTCAGTGACACTGATTGTGCCCTTTTCCCTTGAATTTTCATCTTAAGGTTTCCATAAATATCTTTCTTGATCATTCATTCCTTGTCAGGTGGGTGAACTGAGAGAATCCTCCTTCTTTATGTGGGAGCAGAGAAAGATTTTCCACTGCAGTTTCTCATTTGGCATGAAGTGAAGACAGCACCTCCAGCTCCTTCAGCTTCTTATCAGTGGTTCAGTACAAGGGCTCCCAACTATTCCCACACTGCAGACCTCCTGCAGATATGCCTTGGCAGCCCCTCATGTGCCAAGCAGCATCAAATCCCCTGTCTCATCTTCTGTGTTCTCTTGGCACCATAAGTCTTGCCCCACAGGCTACAGTGTGATACCATCTTTGTCACCTATTCAGTGCACAAAACTTGACAGGTTAGGCTTTTTCAGTAGGAACCAATATCTAGCCTTTTCTGCCTACACAGCCAAAATACACCAAGATCACCTTTGTACCCCTCTGTCAACAAGAGCCCCTTTGCTGACTTCCTAATATTGACAGAAGTTCTGATGTACTGACAGACTCCAAAGAGCCAGGACAACTCAGGAGGTGACAGACAGCCCTTTGCACCCATTCCCTAACGGGAATTGGAAAACCAGTAGCTTTTGCCAATAGGTTACACCTTCTCCTGAGAAGCAGGACTAGGAAACCAAAACAACATGGTGGATGGGCTGGAACCTCTCCAGCTCCTAGCAGTTCCTCTGATCTAAAGACCACACTACAGCAACACCAGCCTGCCTCCAAAACAGACAGCTGCAAAGAAACTTTTGCTTTTGCTTAGGTCCTGCATGGAGCAAATCCAACCTCACCCCAGAATGCCTGTGTATGTCCAGTGCAGTGAGTCCCAAGGAGTAAGGGGTCCACCTAGTGCAGTCAGAGCAGTACTGCCAGAACTGCAGGCAGAGCACATCACACCTGCGGGCTTCACAGCAACGCTGCAAGTGACACTGGTGGGCACCAAAGCCTTATCCTCTGCATAGTCCCTTGGAGGGAGAGGCAGACCCTCTGGGAGGGGCAGCACTCCATGGGGACAGCACTTGCTCCATCTACTGCATCGGTACAGAGCAAGTGTAGGCAAACAGAACCTGGCTAGGTTGAACAGACATGAGACACATTTAGCAAGAAGAGTAATCCAAGATGCAGCCTGCATGTTTACAGAGCCTGAAGGTAGCTGCCTGTTTGTTACCTCTCCAGCACTACTGCTGCACTTTTATTTCCCATAAAAGACCTCAAAAGAGGGTCAGTCTGTGTGAAATGCATCAAGAATGGATTTTCCTGGTTCAGAAAGCAACTCCTCTGGCCTACTTATAGCTATTCCAGCTGAAAGAAATTGAGTTTATCTAATGTATTCTACCTACACAAGCTTTAAGTCTTACACTTTTCAAAGGCACTTCTGTCTGACACCACCTTCAAGATCTGGGAGCATAAACGTAGGGTTAAAACACCCTGAAAGGGTTTAGACAAATCTTTCAACCACACTCTTTTAGTCTCTTTTACAAAATGTGACAGCTCTCTGATAGCAACATACCTAGGTAGATGTTGACTACAGGAAATAGAAAGGGCTAAAGTGAAAGAGCCACTGCTCCACACCCTATCGATATGCATCCCTACGTGAGAAAGAGCAGATCACCTACAAGGTCCTCTAACATCTGCTGATGAAACTGAAACTAGCTGGCTATCAGCTCTGAGCACTAAATAGCCAAAACAGTGGTGAACACATGCACTACTAAATAATTTTAAAAGGTGTTTGGGAAGTTAACAAAAAATGCCTGTGGTTCTGAAAAGTTTGCCACAGGCGGATTCCCTTGAGACCAAAGTCATGCAGTGCTCCCACACTCACGTGAAACATTCAAGTCTTAAACAATTTGGTTATGATCAGATAAAATACAAAAGAGGGAATAAAAATAGCTTCCCCATCTCTCCTTTCATCCAGAAGCAGGTGAATCACTGACTTAAAAGACATCTACTGGCAGATAAAAAACTATAGAAAATGACTAATTGAAAGGATGTTATTCTGGAAACTTCTAGACTTTCCATTCCATGGGAGTCTTAGAAAGGAGTGGAGTTATTCCAGTCTTTCATCAAACCAGGCATGTTAGACAGAGACTAAATGGTAAACTTAGTTATGGAAAAGCTTCCCAGACAATTCTAAGTCAAAAGGACTTGCGAACCCTTAGGCAGTACTCCTGTTCTCCTCTGTTTCTATCACCTTAACCTCCCTTCCTGCTGGCAAGAGCAGGCAGCAACCACACTATGAAACCTGAGAGTCTGTATGACCTAAAATTCCAGGTCAGGCTTAGGAACAGCCTAAAATAGCAACAGGGCACAGAGAGGTGTGTATTTTATTTTTTTATATATATACAAGGTTTTTCTTCTTTTTATATATAAAAGACATAAGCTATTAATTCTTCCTACCTCAATTTTTTTGGTTTCACTTACTCTGAACAAGTAAAAACCATCATCCCAGGAATTTACAGCAAATCCACCATGGGCTCCTGAGACCAAGAGAATCCTGTTCATCAAGGAAAGAGAAAAGTATCTGGAAAAGCCCACTGTAAGCTGGGCAGTGAAGAGCCAGCGGTACATGTGAGAAAGATTCCAAGTCCCATTCGCTTGAAGACAAGGAATAAGCAACACTAACCTGAAAGAACCCATATTTTACCCACATGTAAATGCACATGCAATACCCAGCAATTTCATAGACTTTTTTTAGTAAGAACTTTCAATAAACACACACAGACATATATATATATACAGCCTTCTCTTGCAGAGACAGTTAAGTGATTCCACATTCAGGAATGGGCAGGCCACTCAGCACCACATGGCCAGTGGTTCACAAGGCGCTGAAGATGCTCCTGTGTGCATGCTCATGGTTACTTCATCGTTCCTGAAGGGAAGGCCAAAAAGCCTTGGAGACAGGCTCAGTGCAAACACGCACACAGCTGCGATTATGTGTAACAGCTGTGTCACAGGGTAAGGGAGATGAGAGGGAGCAGCAGGGAAAAGAACAAACATAAAAAAAAAGGCCAACATAAACCCTCTGGAGACTGCCAAAAGTGTCTGCAAACAGTGTCCATCCGTGCTAAGTCCAGTCAGAATTTGACAGAGAAGGAAGTCCCACATGAGCAACCCTTCTCTGCCTGAGGGTTGCTCACCACCTGGAAGGAGCTTCGGATCAGCTCTTGGCTGAAATCCACCATGGATCCTTTCACAAAGGCCAGGCTGTCCACATCCACAACCACACGGGCACCACCTTGTTCAAACACTCTGCAAAAAAAAGCAGCATATTTAACCATTAACTGTGCCAAAGACCTTACAGAGAAACACAACCTCAGCACATTCCTTATCTCACAGGCTTCTTCCCTTCAGTGCACGATACTATCATCTCATGAATACCCCTCCTGCCATTTTTGCCAAGAACAGTAACACCTGATGATCAAAACACCCCTTGATCCTTGCCTGTCATCAGGATTGATAACTGTGTCCAAGGAAAACTTGTACTGGAAGCCAGAGCAGCCACCTCCTTCCACCTGCAGCCTGAGAAACTCTGATCCTTCTGTGATCTCCAGGAGTCTCTACAAATAAATAAATAAAAGAAAGAGGATTAAAAGGCCTGCACTCAAACATCTCCTCTGCCTGACGGCAGGGCAGGCAGTGTGGAAACCCTTCCAGAGACACCAGACCCCGTCCCAGAGTCCGCACCTTCACGCAGCTCTCGCTGAGGAAGATCTGTCCTTCGCTGGGGCCACTCTCCGTGGGGCCCGGCTCGGAGAAGGACGACGCCCAGCGCAGCAGAGAGACAGCTGGGCGGGCAGGGCCGGCCGGGGGCCTCGGCAGCGCTCGGCCTGGGATCGGGGAAGCGGAGCACCGGCTGCCACGGGAAGAAGAGAGAAGGGGCGCCTCAGAGGGGTCCGCGCCCCAGGAACGGGCGGCGGGCCCCGCCCCTGCAGCCACTACCCCTGCCGCGCAGCGGGGCCGCTCTGTGCCCCCGAGGGAGGGTCCAAGGGGCCGAGTGCCCAAAAGAACGGTACCTCGTCCGGCCGCCCAGCACCAACACCCACGAGCGCCGCAGCGCCGCCGGCGCCGCCATGCCAGCCCAGCCCCGCCCCGCCGCCATGGCGGAAGTGCGGCCGCGGCGGGCGGGAGCGGCCGCGCCCACAGCGGGGCGGCACCGGGCCGGCGGTGGCACCGGGGCTGGCCGTGGGCAGTGCTCGGCCTCGGCTTCGGTGAGCGCGTTACAGGCGCACAGAGGCATGAAACTGCTGTTCCCTCTTGGCGGTGTTTACAGCCATGAGGCAGCGAAGAGTAATAAACAGAGAGCGCTGTCCGTCAGCGCATGCTTGTCCCAGGATTAGCTGTAAAGTTATCCTGAGCAGAACCCAGAGAAGGCTCAAGGTACCGCCGCAGGGGAGTTGGGTAGCTGAAGAGCAAACACGGGGCCAGGGATGAGGGGTTTTAGGGTTTTTCCCTGATCCCGGCTTTTCTGGTTTGCTCTCCTTTATGAGGTGGAGGCCAATCTTCCTTCGTTGGAGTGCTTGGCCCGGCACTGCCGGCTGTGCTCAGCCTCACACTCACACTGTTCCTCGCTTCCCACCGCAGGAAGCTGGGACGGGGCCCCGGCCCCGGCAGGGCTCACCCGACTCCTGGCGGGCCCCTGAGGGCCCCCGGGGCACGCTGCCCTGCCCCGGTGGTGGAAGCTCCGCCTCATCGTCTGCCGTGTGACAGCGGCCTGGCCGGTCGGTCACGGATGATCTCGTGGTTAAAAGGGTCTTTATCTCTTTGTTCCTCATGTGCTTCTGGGGGAGGAATCCTGTTCCTCAGCCCTAGCCAGGCCTGTGCAGAGTCATACAGTGACTGTGTGGGAGACTGGTGGAAGAAAACCTGTCATCCCAGCAGAAAAGGGTGATTTACCGTCAGAGGATTTTCAGGACCGTGTCACAATTTGCTTTCTCACCATCCTGTTCCAGGCAAGGTGATTCTTCTGTTACCACGGGGTTTTGCTTTTTTGTTCCACCCTGAGCATGTAAATAAAGACTGGTTTGAGCTGTTTAATTTTGCTTACTTTTGGGTTAGCTCTAATGATGCTATGATAAAGCCAGGAAAGTACCACAGGCAGGGTACCAGCAGGACTGGTACTTACGCAGGCACCTGCAATAGTCTGATGCAATAGTTGATGAATCCTCATCAGGCATATCGGAACACTGAATATTTAAATAAAAACTTATTGGAGTGTTTCTTGATAATTATCAATTTAGCATCCCAAAAGCTGACCACTTTGGAGGAGGGAATTAAAACCTCCGGGGAGAAAAGACAAGGAGGGATCAAGCCTGATTTTTTTCCATATTGCATTGGCTTTCTTTCTCACTCTTGTAGGGTGTATTAGATTGGTCTTGCTTCATTTCTCCATGTTGTTGCTGTATTCACTGTGAACACCTTTTGGAGAATGGATATAGCTCCAAAAAACGGACACTAACTTTGGAGTTGACTTCATTTTTACTGTGTTAAAGTGACACAGAGGTGTTAAGTGACAGAAGTGTGGCAAACAGCTTCCAGGATCTTTGGGACATTGCTGAAATGATTGCTGCAGACTGAAAGAATGAGGAAAAGGCCAGCTAGAGTCACTCACATTTCATATAATTATTAATCTGCTGTGCTGAGGAGAGACTCATGTTCTGGGGACAACTTTTTGGTGTGACAAGGGGAGGTGGGGGTAACTAAGGAGAACAGCTATTCCCTTGCCTCTCTTACCACTGGCCATTTTTTCCTTCAGTCAGCTATATGGTATCTTGTATCTATTTTGAAGGGAAACTAAACTTGTTTCAATGCTTCGGAAACTGGTGATAATAAAACCTCTGACGTGGTGTTGAATGCAAGAGTGGATGTGATGAATTTAAATGTGAATTCTGATGATCTGTAGCAAAATGAGCATGTTCTGGCTGAAAGAACAGTTAAATTGATTAGTCTCTGTGTGTGGATTTTCTTGAGAACCTGCCTGCTGTATTCAGTGATGCTGTAGTGCCTGCAAGCACATCTGTTTACAGAGCTGCAAGTGCTGTGCTGTTAGAGGGATTTGGATTAATCAGGTGTAGATAGCTGATGAAGTGGAACATCAGGTTTTTTCCTCATGTAATAGAGTTGGTTGAACTACAAAAATTAACAACTCCAGTATCAGTCTTGCTGGAAAGAATTTGTGTGCCAGCTTTCTTAGCCTTTTCCGCTGGTGTTCCTGCACTGCAGCATAAGCTCCCTGTGATGTTGGTAATCTGAAAGGACCTTCATCTGCAAAATAATGAGACCAGCCTGAAGCTGATTCGAATCTTACTTAAGCAATGCTTGGCTCCAAGGGAACCTGGAGGCTTATGCCTGTTATCAGATGTCATAGGGGGCATGTGCCTAAAAGCAAGGTCTGTTTGGCCCAAGATGCCTGTGCTGCCCTGGGGAATTTAAGCCTTAGTAATGTTATTGCAAACTGACACCATGGTAATGTATGATAACAGCTAAAAACCTTGGGCAGAAGGTTTCTGCTTCTTTCTTCTGTAAAGGCCTTGGCTGTAGATTTACAGACTTACACTTAAGCTTTTTATTACTCCAGTTCAGGGTGCAGGAAGGGGAAATAGACATGTTAATTGTCAATAGACAATTTTGATCTTAAATGCAATGATTTTTAGTTCAAAGCCTTTGAAATATGTGTTGACTTGTACGTACATAGTCACCACCATTGTGTAAAAGCATCTGTGAAGCAAAGATACGTGGTGAGTTGTTTCACACGAAGACATCCTGATTTAATGGACTCTGTGGAATTTGCTCCCAAGCAAATTCCAAGCACTGTTAATCCTGTGAATGTGTGATGGCCCTTTATGGTGTTGCTCTGACCTGACTGCAGTTGTTACCAGCAGTCAGATAGGCAGCTTTGTTTACCATCTGTAAGACTTGAAGGATTGGGATAAGAGAAGCCTTTTGAAGGACATGCTTTCCATGCACAAGGAAAAACCTTTATCTGGGTCACTTATAAAGTATGCTAGGTAGTGTTAAATACATGGCTTAGTCTCAGCAGGGGTGAGACTAAGGTGACATTTTTGAGGTATTTTTTGGTTTGGTTTTGTTGTTGTTGTTGTTGTTTTTTCCCCATAGGACTGTGGTAAGCACCCTGCTATGCATGTGTCTGGAAACTGAATGCTTATTTGAAATCTAAAAAGAAAAAAAAACATTTAAAAGCCCCACACCCCTTTCTGATGTGACACCCTTTGCAGAGGGCTTGAGCAAAGCGTGGGGTTCCACCTCTGAGTCACTTGGCTGTGCATAGAGGTCTGAAGCGGGGACACTGTCTCAGCTCTGTCACGTTCCTACCAAATCAGCACTCACGTGCCTCTCTGCTGTGTTCTGACATGATCCCAGAAAGGCTAAAATTTGCTACCATGTGAAACTGGTGAAAAGTCGTAAACTTCAGCTTGGGTCAAATGCTTTCTGAAGCCTCGTTTGGTTTGTCTTTGCATCCACAGCACAAAACAGGGAGTCTCTGGCAATTCACGAGTTTGAGAAACAGGACTGACGTGAGTGTGCTCTGTGAAAGGTGGCAGCCACACCAGGTACTCAGCAGATGTAACTCTTGGCACTCAAGTTACGCAAACGGCTTTCAACATGCAGAACGCGAAATGTATGAACAAGGCCACAGACAAGACTACTACAGCAGCTTTGTGCGCTTTATCTTTTATCCCCTTTTAGTAGGGGCAGCAAAAGAGCTTCCCTGCCCATGGCACTGCCTGTATCTGAGTCTGTCCTCTGGCTGCTGCCTTTGAAAGTCCCAGGAGCGGAGTTGTCCAGTGGCAGCGCTTTTGGAGACGGTGTCTGTCTGTCCAAGGGCTGTAGTTCCAGCACACCACCATCACCACCACTCCCGGGCTGTCCCGGTCTCCTGTCACGGTGGCGCTCCCACCGCCCTTTTCCCGGCTGCAGCCCTGCCCGCGGCGGCGGGGGGAGGTCCGTGTCCGCGGCCAGCCCCGGGAGCGCCCCGCGGGCGGGGCCCGCCCCAGCTGACCGGCGGGCGGGGCCGCCGCGCTCATGTGACACCGCGGAGCCGCCGCTGCCGCCGCCGCCGTGCCCGCTGCCGTCGCCGCCATGGTGCCGTCCCCGTTCGCCCTGCTCCTGGCGCTGAGCGCCGCCGCTACCGCCCAGGCCGAGCCCCTCCGCTTCGTTGACTGCGGTGAGTGGCTGCGGCCGCGGGGCAGCGGGAGGAGTGCAGCAGCGGGCGGAGGCGGCTCGGTAATCCCGACTCTTCCTTGCAGGTTCCATAGACGGCAGCATCCAGGAGGTGAACGTGAGCCCCTGCCCCACTCAGCCCTGCCTGCTCCACAAGGGGACATCCTACAGCATCAACGTCACCTTTGCCAGCAGTAAGGAGCACATCCCCAGCGGGAGTAGGCAGGGGCAGGTGATCTCTGCGTCCCACTGCTGGGAGGGGGGAGGGGTGGCTGGAGAAGGATCTTGGTGGGAGGAGGAGTGTCCCATAGTTGTGTTCTTGCAGCCTCTGGGGTATGTGAAGGGCACGTGTGGTATATTTGTGTTCTCTGTGTTTTGCAGAGATCGAGAGCCAGGGCAGTAAAGCAAGGGTGTACGGGGAGATGCTGCACGTGGACATACCCTTCCCTATTCCTGAGCCTGATGGATGCAAGTCCGGGATCCAGTGCCCCATTCAGAAGGGGCATTCCTACAGCTACCTGAATAAACTCCCTGTGAAGAGCGAGTACCCCAGTGTAAGTATGCAGTCAGCTGGTCAGCTTCTCAGCTACTGCCTCTGCTGGGGTTTCACCACCTGCCTTTAAGGGAAGATGCCTTATTCTGTTCTGGTGAGAGAGAGTGGACCCCACAAACAGTCTGGTGTTTTCTGCTGTATGACTCTAGTTTCAAGTTCCCACTTTGGGACAGACCCAGTGAAGGAAGCAGCCTAGCTCCAGCTGCTCAGAAGTGGCTTCAGCTGCTCCAGTATATTCCTGTGCCATGCTTCCCACCAGAGCCTGCTGCATGCAGCTGAATGCTCCCAGATGTACTCAACTCTGGAGTGCTGGGTTCAGCTGGGGATGTTGCAGGGGGTTTCCACTCTACTTTCTCAGGGAGTGGGAATTTGAGTGCAG